TTAGCTGTGCGGAAAAGTAAATAAGGCGTTGCCTAAGCGTGTGTTAATGACTTACCTTTGTCGGCAAAGTTAGCAAAAGAACCAACAGTTGATATACAATAAAGTTTTTGTTATTGCATTATGACATGCATGTTCTGCGACTGTAAAAAGGTTATTTATATATCCTTTTTACACATAACTTATATACGTATTTCTGTAATGTAATAGGAGAGACAAGTCTAAACCTTATTTTTTGCACTCTTTTGATCTCTTCCCATATTATATTTTTCTTTCAGATTTTTATTAGTATTACTTCAACAGAAAGGCAATTTTTTTTAAACGGCTTGTAAATACTACGATTTAGAAATCCGGTTGCCAAGGTACCACTAGTCCACTTAACCATTTGGAACGTAGAATGTAGAATGTTTAGGAGGGGAGTTAATCACCGCGACCTTACAGATCTACTGTGTGTTCCCCTTTCTTAAATTATAACGAGTTATAACGCATCACACAGTCTCAGGGCTTTAACAAAAGCCAGTATCTGAGACGGCTCCACAGAGGCCAGCTCTCTATCCTCGACATCGGTCATCCCAAAGTTCATGGCACCAACGGTCGTCGTCTCGGCCCACTCAGTGATAAGGTGTTCTGGTGTTTCCCCATCTTCTCCACAGAATCTGTATTCGCCGTTATTTCTCAGCTTCAGCTACTGAGGTGTTCGTCGAGGAGACAGTGTCCTGTTAGAAACCCCATGACAATCCGAAGATTTTTTTTTACTTAAATCAAGGAAAACCTTTGATTTTTCTCGGTCGTAAGTTCTGAGGAACTTTTTCGAGTGTCTTAGACCGTTGGAGGACACCTATTCCAGATTACGGATGGAGTCTTCCAGATTCTTCAGTTCCGTTTTCAGTTGGTTCTCGCTTGGAAAACAGAACGGTTCTGGTCCGGTTAGTGGAGTTTGCTCCTTTTCTAGTTCGATCGCTTTTTCATTGCCTTCTATCCCTTGGTGAGCAGGCACCCAGAGTAAGAGGACTTTATTTTCTTTGCCTAATTTGTTGAGCTTCTCGAATTTATGGTTACTGAGACCACAAAGGAGCCATATTAAAAGTTATTTATTTTTATTATCCATCATATCCTTAGAGTGGGCCGCGCCACGGAAAATTTTATCGGTTCAATATTTCTTTGTTTCCATGGCCACTATAAAAGTAACGCTGGCCTGGCTTTATCATAAATTTAACGCCAATCGCCGGAATTCGGCTCCCGCTGGAAACTATTTGACCCTTCGAACGTTTTACTGTTTTTTATTGGAGCGGATTTTTTAGAAGTATGTGTAGATTATATACAAAAAGGGGAGGCATTTCATATACAGGGTTAATCGAGGGGTTGTTCAACTTTAAAACACCCTGTGCAATATGTTCGTGTGTAAATTGTCCTAAAATATAATGTTACGGTGAGGCTCATGTCTTCTGAGCATTTTATTTTTTGGATCATGTCAATACATGCCTTGGTTAATATTTTTAAGAGCTCTCACCAACAATTTGCATTTTTTTCAATTATCATTTTTTTAAAGTTATTTTTCAATGTGACAAGGCGGCTTTGGTGATTATTGTGAACTATATACCTACTACTATGAACTGCCCATCATGTTTGACGTTTGGGAGTAGGGATAGAGGTCGCGAAGCAGTACCAGCTTCATTAAATTAACTTAGCTTGGCTAACTTATTAGATCATACGGTCCTAAATGATTTGCTTAGTTTTAATGACTTCTTAAAAATATCATTCAAGATGTATTTTTAGATAAAATGGAAAAATGTCTATCACCATTAATATTAACATGTAATTTCCTATATCCAGGTCAGTGATGAAACATACTGTCAATATTTTTGATGACAGTGAAAACAATATAAATTTAGTAAAAATTAAATAAGACATTATCTGTAAATCACTATATAAATTAAATAAAAAACACAGGCTTTAATAATAATATTTACAAATAAAAGATAATGCCTTGTCCGTAAATTCATTTCCTTTTACATTTCGAGTAAACAAACCAAAAGGGAAAAATAACAGGCTTATATTATAAAACCGGGTACCGCAAAAGCGTTGATACATATTAAGCATTAAAACGTTGAAAATGAGTTTTTAGATAGACAGCGTCGAACAAAAACAAAAGAGTGAGCCCCAATTATTGACAACGAAACAATGAACAAAAATAATCTATGAGATTTTCAGGCACAAATGAAAAATTGGAAAGCTGTGGACTTTTGATTAGGCGAAATTTCAAAATGTAGCCTATAATTTGCTTTATGCTGTAGAGTTGTAGGAACAATAATTAGTTTCTGTTTATTTTCTACTGTTTTTAAAATTTGGTCTTTATTCTTAAAACATATTTCAAAGGTAACAGATAAAAATATTCAAGGCATATATTAATCTATATTTTTTTTGTTTATTCTTATATTATACAGTACGTCTGCTGGATCTGTGTCTATGAAAGGAATGCGGACAAAAACATTTAAATAAACAGCAATATATTTTATACGTCGACTTGACGAGTACGTCACCGCAAATCGCTCCGCCCACTCACTTTATTGGTTGCGACACCAGTTCTTTGTACAAAGAACTGGTGATATTTTCTAATAGCTGAATCAAATCCTTCTATAACATCCAATCAGTAAAATTAGCTAACTTAATAAAAAAACAACGATAGTCAACTGTTGTATAATATGAAACAGTATTATGTTCATCTCAGTGAAGGCGGTCGTTTGGCAATGTAATTTTTTTTTAAATATCGTTGTCATCCTTTCACCTGGCTTATAATTTAACATTTGAAATAATGGTCAATAGTAAATTAAATTTACTTTTTAGTAAGCAGTAAATAAAAATTTAGATATAAGACAGCTTATAATTTATTTAGACACACTTTTATTAAATTACTATAGAACAATCGATTCTGAACCATAAACATTTTTGGTTGCCAAAAACTCTTATTAATTAATTAGATAAGTTATTATTTTTGCATACAAAATTGGTGAAGTTTTTAATCTAGGCACACTCTGTAATTGTTATATCATATTGTTATTCTCCGACAGCTTAAGGTTAGTTACAGTCGCGTTGTACTTCCATATCTTTCGGCAGTTTATTCATGTGCTTCGCTGGATGATTATTAGAAGTCTCTGGATCCATGCGACGTAGTCTTTTACTGTGTTGATTTTTACAAATCGGATTGTACTTCCGTTCAAACTGCACTTCCTTTATGAAATAGTGTCCACTTTCCAGCACTGCTGGCTTTGACGAAATTGGTAATTAGTAGCTTAGTCCCACAATAGTTTTTAATTAAAATTTAAATTAGAAATTTTAAATTATACAGAGTGTCCCAAAAATAAGTGTAAATATTTTAACTGGTCAAAAGAAATCACATATTTTCTCTTTGCCATTACTAAAATGAACTGAAAATAACCAAGTTATTTTAACTTTGATAGTTGTTAAAATGCAACATTTTGAAAGCCGCCGAGAGAAATAGGCAATTTCCCTAACCTCGCCTTGTTGTTGCCGGCCGCTGTTGCCACATCGAATAGAAAAACTTAAAAACTACTTGCAAAATTCCACACCACCGAAGAAGTGTGTTACTTTTTTTAAGTGAGTGATCGCCAGTAGCCCTATTTCCCATATTCCCCAAAATAAGTTAAAAGAACAAAATAATACCAAACACTAAAAAAGATATTCCGATAGCAGATCAATATAATTGCAAAGCTCTCTTTTTTTCAATTTTCCCACTCTTAAACTGCACTTAACACTACCTTAACAACACTTCACTTCGCTACAATTCTTGACAGCACTATGCATATAGCTAATGATAGCAATCTACACTAATATGAATAAAATTATTTTTCGTATTTTTTTGTGTAGCAACGTCAGTAGCAACATAAAATTATTGTGAATTTATAGATAAACATCTAGAATGTGGATATGGTGGAGGTGGCAACATTGCACTCTCTCAGAGATTCTCTATGCACGAAATACGAATTTCCGGGGAATGTCCAGTGGTACTCAAAAGTTTTTCAACATTTTCCCAAAAACGTGAAGAAAAATACAAAAATTTCAGAATTGTTTTTCCGCAAAAAAAAAACTCATTAAAATATTTGCACTTATTTCTGGGAAACCTTGTATAAACATACTAATAAAAAACCTCTGAAGATTAAAATTTTACGTACATCTATAAAAAAAATATCGAATAACTTTTCTACAAAATTCGATTCGAGTCATTTTGCGGAATTTTAATTTTCCATAGAGTTTCGTTAATTTTTTAGGGCCTGTCTTAAATTATTGCTCCCTTTTTTGCATGTTTTTGGAATTTTGTACTTTATGTATATATGTTACGGTTAAAGTCCGATGTCCGGTTAATATCGACATTAACATGTTAATGTTTGGGTTTGGTTAGATTATGTTTTTAGTTGTTTGTGTGTTATTCTCGACATTAACCGGGTAATGTCGATATTAACCGGACATCGGACCTTAACCGTAAGATATACATGAATTACACTTAATATTCAATTATAATAGACGTTAAATTATATCAATGTTGGCTTAAACAACTAAAATAAACTTGGCAACGTTTACTATAGCCGTATGTACATTATATTCTCAGAATACCATCTCCGCAAGATTGATAATTTACTTTATAATGTAAATTTATATGCAGATTGCAGTTCAGAACCAACTAGCAAAGAAACTTTCTGTCCAGATAGGGAGAAAATCAATTGCAATGCTATTACTATTACAGGAGCCTTGGGATTGTGGGCCCTTTATGCTATCCCTACAATCTCCCCACTATATCTAAATCACTTAACCAAACAAGATAACCGGAATCTGGCTGTATCAAGTTATCAAATAAATCTCGATCTATTTCGATTACAAGATGTGCAAGGCGTGTTATCGTTAGTAATCGATTTAGAAACTTAAATTAACTATATCAAAATAATAGTAAAAGTACTTTTAGTAGTAGTTTTTACGTGATTTCTTCTTACCTGAATTAAATGGGAGTGCGCTAACCAGTTAAATGGGTTTGGTAGGCCATTGAGACTTGGTAACAAAGATCTGAAACAAAATAATATATATAAATAGTTGAATAAATTGACATTATTTTACGAAAAAAGTATTTATTATGTATTTCTATACTGTTTTCCGACCTATATTGATTTGATACTATATTGAAAGTTCAAAATTATAGAAATTATAAAACTAATGCATTACAATATTTATTTACATGTTTATCTGTCTATTATGCTGGTTGTAAAAACTAAACTAACCTGTAATTTATTTAAAGTTATTTTTAATTGGACAAAACAATATTGTCGAATGGAGTCCATGTTTCGACAAATACGAGGGTGGTCTGAAAAGTTTCCGACCTAACAAACATACAAGACATTTTTTCTGAATATTTTATTTTATTTTTCAACATAGTCCCCTTGTAACTCTACACACTTTTGCGATGCTCCCATCTCTGTAACCCGTCCAAATAGTACTCGGCGTTTTTCTCTGCAAAATAGTGGTTCACGAAGGTGATTGCCTCTTCATTTGACGAAAATCTCTGTCCTCCGAGCGCAATTTTTAAATGAGGGAACAAAAAGAAGTCGCTAAGGGCTAGATCTGGTGAGTAAGGCGGATGGTCAAGCAGTTCAAACCGTAATTCGTGGATTTTCGCCATGGCAACCGCTGAGGTGTGAGACGGCGCGTTATCTTGGTGAAACAGGATTTTCTTTTTCTGTAATTGAGGCCGTTTTTCCGTAAGTTCTGCTTTTAGCTTGTCAAGTAATGATGCGTAGTATGTTCCTGTGATGGTTTTTCCTTTTTGAAGATAATCAATTAAAATAACTCCATGACTATCCCAAAAAACAGTCGCCATCACTTTCCCAGCCGAAATAACAGTTTTTGATTTTTTTGGAGCCGGTTCTCCCTTTGCCGTCCACTGTTTGGACTGTATTTTTATTTCTCGTGTATAGCGGTGTATCCAAGTTTCATCTACAGTAATTAATCGACGCCAAAACTCGGATTATTGCGCCTAAACTGCGCTAACATAGCGTTGGAAATGTTCATACAAACACGCTTTTGGTCTAACTTGAGCAAACGCGGCACCCAACGCGCGGACAGCTTTCTCATGCCTAATTCTTGATTTAATATGTGACAAACACGTTCTTTTGATATGTTCATAACCTCTGTTATCTCTCTCACTTTAATTCGGCGGTTGTCCAGCACCATTTGGTGAACTTTGGCGATGTTAACGTCGGTAGTTGCAGTTTTTGGACGTCCCGAACGTTCATCGTCTCCCAAGCTCTTACGGCCACGTTTAAATTCAGCTGCCCTAAATTTCACTGTGGTAAATGATGGTGCAGAGTCCCCATGTCTCTACACACCGGCCTAATGATCTATGATCACTATGATCGCGCGCACTGGGCAATAGAGAAATCATCTGAGTGTGAATTTTGAAACGTAATTGAATTTAATTTAATGATTTATGATCATTCACAACCAAACGATTATTATACTCGAATAATGTAAAGAAAAATAAACAAAAAATTAAACTACTTATTTTTGCACATCACTTATATTGTACAAATGATTAAATATTGTAAACTCAAACCCAATCAAAGAAAACTAAAAAAAGAATAATGAGATGCGTGAACACTACTACTTAAATTATTTGAATTCCTGAGAAGATAATATATTATCGAACTGTCGACAAAACACTAAATAAAAAAAACTGAGTTTTATTTTTCCCAGATCCCCAACAAATAAAAAGAACTTTAACTATTTTGGTGTCACTAAAACAACAAAATATGTAACGTATTGCAAGACGCAATGAATATTATTATTAAAATAAATATAAAAATAAAATTGCCATTGCAGCAAAGTCGGTAGTCTAAAAATTATACAGGGTGAGTCTTAAATAAGTGCAAATATGTTCAAGGCTGGCAGATCTCGATAAAAGAAATGTTTTCTCTTTTTTTCTCTTTACCATTTTTCAAATAATTTCAAAATAACCACGATATTGTACTTTCAAAATTTAAAAAAATTGATTATTCGCTTAAATTTTGAGAACCACTTGATCTTTTCTGGGGTTTCTTTTATGTAAATGTAATCTACTATGTTTCCATATTATGAAGATATTGTGTATTTAACTATAAATAAAAAAAACTAGTATTTTTATAGAGTATGTGCCCGAATTGAAGAAGAAAAAACTTTTTTATTATTTACGTTTTGCAAAAAAATGCATTCATAAAAAATAGTGCTTTTTCTAAAATGGTTAATCTCGTTTATACTTTTTGAAATTTCCATACATACAGTTGTGGAGAAAATTTAAGAAAACTTGACAACATAGTTGAATTTTCCTAGTCCTAAAAATCATAATATTACTGGTATGGTAATTAATTTAAAAAAATTACCATTTTAATTTGCCTTTTGATTTTTTGGACGAAATTTTTTTGATTTTCATGTTTTTTAAATTTTCTCTAAAACAGTATGGGAATTTGGAAAAGTATAAACAGGATTAACCATTTCAGAACAAGCAAACATTTTTATGAAGATTGTTTTTTTTTTCAAAATGTCAATAATAAAAAAGTTTTTTTTTTCCTTTTGTAAAGACAATCCGGGGACATATTGTATAGTATTATTTTTTCCTATTGAAAAATGGTAACAAAGAATATAAGTTGTTCTATGGTTTAATACAACCTATTCTTTCCAAGATAGTAAGCAGAGTGTATAATATTAGAACATCTTACTTTTACTATCACGTTTAATCTGGATGGTCTATACCATTCATTTATACGGTTTACAAACGGTGTTATCAGCCTTAATGGCCTATGGAGTTAGCCAGCTTCTAAACAATTCTTATTCAAGAGATATTCGATCTCATTCGGTATGGCTACTGGCTTAAACGAGCAGTTTGACCCAATATACGTTATACTTTCCCGTGGGATAACTGCAAGATGATTTTCTTCTATTACTGTAATATTATTATAAGCTTATTAGTTTTATATTAGTTTTCCACTTATCAATAAAAGATATGAAATAGAAAGAAATTACATTAGGAATGTAGTTTAGTGTAATAGGTATTCACCTTCATTAGTTGTCAAAATAATTAGAGAACGTAGGTATAAGTTTGCGATTTCTGCAAACTCGACTTTTAAAGTGGAGAAAGATAGTCAAACTATATTTCAATACCGAGTCATAGAGAGTTACCAAGTGTTTAAAAAAATTAAAATGTCAATTACAAACTTTTGTATAGCGCTAATAATAAATTACAACTTTTAGGTAATCCTAAACATAAAACAGCTCTATCGGAAAGGTCGAGTATTTATGAAATTTCATGTAATCAAAAATATGTTGGACGAACTAGAAGATTAATATTAACTAGATTTAAAGAATATTTAGCTCAGATAAGATATGGCAAAGCAGATAAATCTTTCATGTTAAAAATTTAAAATTAATCGAACAAGTCTCGAATTACATGAGGAGCGTCAAAATAAATAAATGTAAAAATAATATGAACAGAGATAATGGTCCAATTCTTTCTAGTTTTCTGTTTCCTATTACTCTATTCTGTAGATATTAGTTTAGTTTTAATCATCTGCAGATGAATGCTAACATTGTTAGCAAAACGCGTGTCCAGTGTTTAGTGTTAGCACTGTTAGCATTATCAGCAGATGATTAGAAGTAAAGTGTATTGTGGTGAATTTAATGTTTTATTTTGATATCATAAGGTTAGTTCCTTTTAGCAAAATAAAACTCTACTTCACTACACCAAACCATTTTACTTTTTAGTTTTCATCATCTTCTAATGATACTTGAACAATATTGAACATGGTTAGTAAAACGCGCGTCCACTGTTTAAAAGTAAATTGTTTTGGTGTATTGTCGTAAATTAGTGTTTTGTCTTTTGCTGTTGTAATAGCAAAGGTTGGAGGTTGGAACCTCCAACTATAATCATTAGTTCCACTTATCCTCTATAGCATATTATATTTGTTAGAATGGTTTTATGATAATATAAAAACAGTTCAAAAGATAAAATTCTTTAAAGCCTATATCAATTCAAAATTAGGCTTTAGTCTCTTTATGCAAACATTTCAGTTTACGACTGGCAAATAAAATAAAAACAAATATAGAGAAAATGCAGAGATAAAAGGGAAATAGAAATCCACACTATACGAATCCGTCGATGAAGTTGCCGCTGAGGCTTTTTTCTGCTTCAACGGCTCTCAGTGTAAAGGCATACTTTTCTCTTTTGGGCCCGGCCACCTAAAAAACAACGACTACGGTTATGCGCTCTGTTTTATGGACATTATGTAAATAGTTGAGTATCGAGCAAGTGAGAAAATCGTATTTGTTTGGCACAAAATGTAAATAACAAACATTGGATCTATCGATTTGTAAAGAAAGCGGTGCTGATTTAAGAGACGTTTAGGATTTCGAGGTTGAGAATGTAAATGCGTCAGTAAGTCAGTAATGATTGAGACAGAATTCCTTTAGTTACTAAAAGATAATAAACTAATAGGCATAGATCGTAAAAATAATAGACATAGTAAAAGATAATAAAATACATTACTCAAAACAATTATCGCATATTTGAATAAAAGTTATTATTATATATTTCTCAATGAAGCATGCATTTTTCTGCCTTTCTATTGTGAGTTTTTTTAGGATAATTAGGGTACGCACTGACATGTAAGCACTGACATGTAATTTTTAGTCGGCCGACTATTTAGTTGCAAAAGTGAAAACAGTACATTGTTATGGAGCCGATCGGCCCAATATTTGATTACATTGCGTAGCCTTAAGCGGCCCATACATTATCAAACTAATTGCGCAACAAAGGGATGCGCAACGTTGCGTTGCACAACTGATTCAGCGGTCCATACATTATCAAACAAGTTGCGCAAAAAAGCGATGCGCAACGTTCAGTTGCACAACTGCATCACCAATGCACTTAGTAAAATTTTGATCAAACATTTTATTAAAAGTTGTGCATTGTTTGAGAAACAATCATGTCCTCAATTGCCATTGCGTCAATTATTATCGTATATACCCTAGATGATGTCAAG